GCCTTGAAGCATGAAACTTTCACTAAAATGATCTTAAAAGATGGTTTTTATAACCTTACCTTATAATTTGAGTGCCCAGTATCTCGGCAATGGAAGCAGTTGGTTTAGAATTTGAGCAGTGTAAGGAAGGCCTTGAAGCATTCTTCTAACCCAACGTTGCCCCACATTCACCACACCAGTATTGTGTATCTTTTCTTTGGCTCTTTTTTTTAACCACACATCTTCTGTGCGGCCTTGCCTTCTCCCCGTGAGGGGTATAGGTTCAAGGGAATGTCTTTCCATGAGCCGTTTAGCTGCAGTAAATTCAACGTTACGAGTTATCATAACAAGGGTTTGTTGCTATGCCTTTGATATTCCATCCATTTTGGCAGCATTAGATGTCGTAGGGGTGACCACAGAATTCATGAAGTTATTCTAAGAACTGGCTGGTATGTAGTGCACGAAAGCAGAGCTTAGCTGGCTCAAAAAAAATATTTATGGTCATCCCTCGAAATGACCACCAAGGTCAGTACGATAAAATGGCGTCAACTGGAGCGATAATACATGAAGGAATGAGTTCTTTCCCCCCCCCACACACACCAGTATCGTCATAGGGGGTGACCACAGTGTTCTGCCTTAATTCGTGACGTTTTTCTAAGAACTCGCTCCTATGTATTGTGCGAAATCAATCGATCTTGCAAGAATAAATTTTTGGACATCCCCCTTCTAAGAATTCCAATTGAGTGTGTTAGTGTGGCCAGCTCAGGGCAATATGATATTATAAACACAGCACATATCAAATCTCTGCTGTTTATAACTTCATAGGAAAGAAAACACGCCATTCATAACAGTTTGAATGAGGAAATCTCTTCCAAGAGCAACAGGATTTTGCTGCAAGACAGGCATATGTAACGATGACTTAACGCAGCTAAACTCATGTTTCATTATATATTGTTCTTCTGACAACAGGCCAGCGAAAAATCTAACAATCTACAGCAAAACCATCAATTATTATGGGCGTTATAACATAGGTGTGCAGCTGGACGAAACATAGACGTCGAACCCCCGCAGATGATTTAAATACCTGACGAAACATACACGTCAAACCACGCTGAACGGTTAACGACCTCTACGGCGTATTTAGTAACGAAACACGTTACAATATGTTATGCACCCTAATGATAGGTGCTGGTTGGAAAATGACTAAAAAAAGGTTACAAGGACAATGAGTTATATGTGCTAAGTTTACTCAGAACAGGAGCTTAAGTCAACTGAAAGTGCAATTGCAGAAATACAGCACAGCTATTACAGCAATTCAGGAAGTACGTAGAAAGGTAAGGGGAAGCCTGGACAGTGCAGTCAGTATAGCAACTAGCTAGAGGCAGGATGGCTGAGGGGTGAGTGTTTTCTCTTCTCCATGTAGGGCTCTGAGGCCCACCCAGCCTCCAATCCAATTGGTACCTGGAATGTGCTGTCCCTATGTAGAAGTGCAGCTTCAGAACTCCTTAACAACAGTGAAACACAGGCAAAAGAGGAAAATGTAAATCCAAAAGCTGAACTCTACATTAAAGTACTAATGAGGAATGCAATTTCTGCAGCAAACAAAACTCTTAAATAAATATTAAATATCAAGGAAAGGTAGTATTTGTGCTATTTTAATCAGCTATGGAGGGCTGGGATAGTGGCAGGCGATACAGGCATTAATAGAAGAAATATGGACAAGTGGAATTATGCTGGGACAATGACATATGGCAAAAATATACATAATTCACAATAAGGGTGATTAATTAGAAAGTAAAAACTATAAAGCAATATAATTATCAAATGTAGGTTATAAAATTTAAACTGATCTTTTATATAAACAGTTGCAGAGGAGATTTTAGGGTAATACCAGTGTGGTTTTAGAAGATGATGCACAACTAGTGATCCACTGTTTGCATGGACATTATGTAGGGGTGCTGACAAGTCTTTGGCTTTTCCTATTTCACCTACTTTTATACCAATAATATATTCATCACATGAAGTTTATTGTTTTGTATATGTGTGACCTAAATTTCATAACTGTAGCCTGATTATTTAACGTTTGTTGCCAATCTGAAGTGAAAATGGAACAAAGCAATGAAGATCTCACTGCAAATGAGTGGCCAGTGGTGATGAAATATTTTTTCCTAAGAGGTTACATTAGGTGATAAGCACCCTTCCTACTCCAGTCAAGAACTGGGTTGCTAGATTCAGAAGAGGACATTTGAGCACTGAAGATGAAGAATGTTCTGGGAGATCAACTCAAGTGACAGTTCCAGAAAATGTGGATGCTGTTTATTTCATGTTCCTGGATGATCAAATATCCGCTACAGAGATAGCAAAGACTTTGCCAATATCACAAGATTTTAGACATGAGAAAGCTCTCAGCCACTTGGGTTCTCAAATGTCTCAACGCTGAGCAGAGGCATGTTTGAGTACTTGCTTCACAAGCCATTTTGGACTGATTTTGGCGAGATCCTGTGCAATTTTTGAACCGCCTTGCAACTGGATAAAACTTGGATCCATATACATGATCCAGAGATCAAAGAGCATTACAAGGAATGGAAACATAGTGGTTCCCCACGTCCACAGAAGTTCAAGACATAGAAGTCATCAAGCAAGGTGTTGACATTTGTCTTCTGGGACAAAGATGGAATTTTGGTTGTAGACTACCTATAATATGGTGCAACCATCATGGCAAAGTACTATGCTGCACTTCTCAACAAACTGAAGCAGCAACTCCAAACATTGAGGCAAGCTTTCAAAGGAATCCCGTTTCTTCAAGAAATGCTTCTCCTCACAAGAAGGCCATTACACACCAGAAATTGGCAGATCTTCACTTTGTAGTTCAGAAAAACCCAGCCCACTTACCTGATCTGGCCCCTTCGGACAACTACCTCTTTCCTAATGTCAAGAAACACCTCAAGGGAAGGAAATTTTCGAGCACTGAGGAGGCCGCATTAGCTGCGAATATGTGGTTTGCAACACAACCGAATGATTTTTTCTTGGATGGGTTAAAGAAGTTAGAATAATGAAGCTATAACTGTGTTGAGCTCAGCGGGGAACATAGAGAGTAAATACCCAAAGTGGGGGTTTTGTCCACTTTACCCCATGTGGCTGTCCTGGTACTCGCACTTTCATCGGAGCTCTCACTTTCACTGGACACAATATTTTGGGGGGCCCTGTGGCCCCTGTCACTGTCACTTTCACTGAGGCTGGCCTTGCTATCAGAAGACGAAGCAGTTGGCAAATCTGATAGCTCATCGGAGAACAAATCAATATTTCTTGTTCTCTGAGAGAACGCTTCGCCTACAACTGCTTTCGTCTCTGATACATGTTGCACTGCTAACTTCCTGGTTCATACGTGGAAGCTTGGACTCGAACAAAGGCTTTTTTCTTTAGGGCGTGACAGGAAATGAGCGTGATCATGTTACTGGTTAAGCTAGCAAACATTCCCGAGGTCAACTACGCAGTAGTTATGATGCATTGTGGCCACACAGTGAGATACAGTCGGTTGCAACATAATGTGTCAGAAAAGGGCCAATTGGCCCGCCCAGTCCGCAACGCTATAGAAACGTAGAGGGCCAATTGGCCCCTCCGGTCCTGAATGTGTTAAGCAACTTCCTAGTAAAGGTTGGTTCTTGTGCAGGCAACAGATCCACTATTCAGGAAACCGTGTTGTTATGGAACCTACCAACAAAACTTATGTCTGCATTTTAATGCATATGTTCTTCTTAAAGATATGGGGTCTTCATGGTCATAAAAATTAAGATTGGTCTTCTGGATTAGAATACCATACAGCCTCCTAGGTGATTACCAACATTTCAATAAAATGTTCTGCCTCCATCTTCAACTTCTAACCTAAAGATGGAGGTGAGGCAGCAAGTTGTTTTTGAAATGTTGCTAGCTACTTAAAACAACCCAGATATATGGTATCATGACCCAGAAGACAAAAATCTAAACATTCTTCTAAATCCACTGGAATCTAATGGTCAACAGTATAATGCAATTCAATTAGCATTTCTGATTTAAATTATTATTATTATACTAACCTTCTTTGAAGCTACAGAAACAGGCGTGGAAGGAACTGACTCTTCACAGGAGCCCTGTGATTTCAAGATCGATTTCTGTGGTGGCAAGATGAGCTGTCGTATTGGTTGGGACGGTGGGGGTGATAGTACGAGAGATGTACGTGGGGGTAAAGGAGCTGATGTTGACTGCAGTTGTGGTTGTGTCTGCAGTAGTGGCTGTTCTTGTTGCAAGGGGGTTTGTTGCTTGGATATCCCTTCAAATGATGCTTCATCCTCATCCTCCATGTCGTCATCATCATCAAGGTCAGCTACTGCTAGATCATCTTCAACCTCCTCACCATTCTCATCTGTTGTATCCAGTAAATCCTTCCGTAGTCTGTGTTCTTGAACATATTCTATCACTGCCTGTAGACACAATATATATATATATATGAATAAGACAGAATATATCCAGTGGCATGAATACAAATACTGTTGGTTTAGCTCTGAATTTTCAGAGCTTATAAATGACAAAAATGTAGTCTTAAGAAATACTAAAGGAACCACTACTCATTTTGTGACAAGAGACAAAAGCATTTTTTCCTCTAAATTCTTCAGTTTACAATTAAAACAAATCTGGAACACATTTTCAGTACATAAGTTTCACAAATCCATTAATTCACATATGCAATTCAGAATGTAAAACATAATTTTATGTAAAATTTTGACTTACACTGCTTCTGACAGGACTAAACAATGTGCTTTCCAAGAAATTTCAATAATGTGTTGTTAATCTGAAACATTAATGCTAAGATAAATCAGCTCCTCTACCCTGTAGTAAAGTTAAAATGCACCCTACTTACCACAACAAAGTCTTTTCTGAAACTTCATGCCTTCCTTTCTCTTTGGACAGTTAAATTTTAGTTGAACATTTATCTAGGAAAAATGCTTTTCAAATTTTTAATATACAGTAATTTAAATAAGACGCAGTGAAATACTTTGGCTAGCATGACAATTATTAAATGTGAACTGTGTTTAAATGAGATAAAATTCTTATGCAATCAGTGTGACATTATTTCCATTAAAAATCAAGAAGAATTTGTTGGATCTGATGTTCTCACGGCAGTGACTATGAAGTGTACAGTCTTCTGTGATATAATGCTATGTAGTCTGGGGCAGCTTACTTTTTGGCCCTAAAGATGGAGGTGATATGTTCCTCTGAACTACACAGCATTATAACCCAAAAGACTGTAGTCTTCAGTAAGATTATTTTTTTCACAGAGAACCTCAAAACTTTCGCAACTATGCTGAATTAATGAGGTTTAGGCAACCTCAGCATCTTAAGCCTGGGTCATGTGTCACATTTTGCCAAGATTCTGGATATAGTACTAGGACAATCTAGATTTAATAAGACAGGCTTCTAGTACTAAGTATCACTTATAGGGATCTCTATCATGGCACTGCAATATTATTCCACCTTCATCTCATCACTGCATAACTGTAGGGCATGTAACCATTTGCTGGTCACAGTATCTGAGTGGTCTAAGGCATTCAGTCTTTGCTCAGTTGGAAGCCGGGATCGTGGGTTTGAATTTCACTCAGGGCATGGAAGTTTAGTGTTTGTGTATGTGTGTGCGTTTTTCTGTGTTTGTGTACAGGTAGATGCCTTGCAACAAGCTGATCACTTGCCCAAGGAGACCTACTGAATATATAACATTTAGTAAACTGAAGTGAAACAGAGAGTTTCATGGAGGTAGGCCAAGACCCAAATTGGGGCTGTAGCGCCAAAGGAAAATGTAACCATTTTGCACAGCACAAGTTTGTTTTCACAGTTCCCTTACAACCAGCTTCACATAAGCAGACAATGGAATGTTTCAATTATGTAAACTTAAAAATGCAATTGATTCTCTCACTCAAACTAGGTGGTCAGTTATAGCATAGCCCATGTGAAATATGCAATAACCCTGGTGATAACATGAGTTAGAAAGCTATGGATACTAACAACAACGCAATAGAGTGAAACCCTGATTTAAAGTTAGTCTGGGGGACAAGCTTTTTGTACCATAAACTGGAATTCTGGAAACAGAGCCTAAAAGGACTGTTAAATGTTGTTAAATAAAAAAATAAGGGAATGAACTTTCATTTCACTGTATGTGCTCCACACCAAATTCCTTCTTCAAGAATTGAAAAATTCCATATAATTTTGTTACTTCATGATGACAAAGCTGCACAAAACACACTGCAGTTTCATTACACAACACAGCTGGATTCTTTTCGATCTCCTGAATAATTTTCATTTCCTCATTTATTGTTAACTTTTTTCTTTTCAATACCATGGTCATTCATTACTTCAAAATCATCATACATATGAGGGCTCTTTGGAAAGTAACATCCAGTGAGATATTATTAAAAGAAGGAATGAGAAAAAAATATTACAAGCAAAAAATACGTACATACTTAAGATACTCAACGTAGTCCCCACCAGAACTGAGGCAATCGTCATATCGAGGAATAAGTTTTTGTCTGCCCGTGTCAAAGAAGTCTGCCACCTGTGAGCTCAGACATGTTTTGAGACCTTCCATCAACTACTAATTATTGTTGAAGAGCTGTGATTCAAACCAGTTCTTCAGGTAGGTAAATAGGTGATATTCGCTTGGGTTGAGATCAGGGCTGTAAGGAGGGTGGTCAAACAACTGCCAGTTGAAATGTTCCAGCAGTGCTTGAGTGCAGGCAGCTGTATGTGGACATGCACTGTCATAGAGGAGCACTACGAGTACATTGTATGTCAGCATTCCATGCATTTTGTTCTGATTGACCCTATGTGTTTTTAGTGTTTCACAATATAAAACATGGCTCAGATCAGAGGCAGAATTTTTTTGACACAGGCATACAAAAACTTATTCCTCAATATGACATGTGCCTCAATTCTGGTGGTGACTACATTGAGAGGTAGCTTAAGTATGTACATATTTTTTGTATATAACGTTTTTCATGTTGCTTGTTTCTTAACAGCTCACCAGAGGTTACTTTCTGAATAGCCCTCATATACACAAGGTGGTTCAAATATGACTGGGACTGATTTATGTGTAAACAAGCCGCACTGCGCAGCAGCTGTGGGACCTTGAGAGAGTGAAGCCATAACCTCCACCCTCCCTCCTGTTCGGGTTAGAACCTGTTCAGTCCTGTCTGGGAGTTGCTAGAGTGATGAGTGAACAGAAGGTATCGCGGAACATGGAACAATGCATTGTGATCAAATTCTTTGTTGGAGAAAACGTCCCGACAACTGAAATTCACCAGACTCCAACAACAGTATGGGGAAGTGTCTCTCATGGACCTGTGTGTGAGTGGTAAGTGCTTCAGAAAGGGCAGAAAGCGTGAGGAGAATGAACCGCATGATCGTCGGCCGTGAACATCCATCAATGAGCCAAACACTGATCATGCAGATGCGCTTATTCACAAAAATAGGCGCATCACTATCAAGGAACTTGGAGCAAGCTGTCCATCAGTGTTGGTAGTGTAGAAGACATCATGAAATACCACCTGCACTGTCGCAAGGTGAATGCATGGTGGGTACCACACACTTTGACGAACGTGAACAAAATGGTGCACATGCAAGCTGCCAGTTGTCTCCTACAGCAGATTGAAGATGAAGGTGATGCATTTTTGAAGTCTATAGTGACCACCGATTAAACGTGGGTGCACTACTTCATTCCCGAGTCCCAGCAGTCATCACGCGAGTGGCGGCATACCAGTTCTTCCAAACCAAAGAGAGTGCAGAGGAGCCGTTCGGCAGCAAAAGTGATGGCAACATTCTTCTGGGACTGGCAGGGGGTTATCCATGTAGACTTTCTGACAAATGTCAGAACAGTCAATGCAGCTTATTACTCAGACCTCCTGGCAACAGACGTGAAGGAAAAGTTCCGATCCCAGCGGAAGACAGGTGGAAAGCGGGTAGCCTTCCTTCAAGACAATGCATGGCCCCATAGGGCCAAAACAATGGAAACCCTCTGGAAATTGAAATGGAACCTTATGACACATCCACCGTATAGTCCCGATTTGGCCCCAAGTGATTTCTACCTGTTCGGAAGGCTGAAATCAGACTTTCAAGGCATATGGTTTGTGGACGACGTCATCCACTGTTCAGGAGTGGATACGCCGCCAACCACAAGCCTTTTTTGAAAAGGGCATCAGGATGCTTCCAGAACGTTGGAAAAAAATGTGTTGACTCTGGAGGGGAGTACGTTGAAGACTGACATGTGGAAGTAAGTGTTTGGCAATTATGTTAAAAAAAATCTGTCCCAGTCATATTTGAACCACCTTGTACAAAACTATGACACTCAAAAATGCAATACAAACAGAACAAACACCAACAATTTACAATTTACACAGGGAGAAGAAACAAAGCCTGGATCACTAATGAACAATGAACCAGCAGACAGCATACCACAGATTAGTAAAATGCTTACCTTACTAATCTGAGCACACTACATTACATGTCACATAAATGATTACCTAGAGTTATGCAAGGGTGGGTGACACACTTGTTAGAACCTGCAAAAACTTTTCCTTCAGCGCTAAACTACTATCCAAAACATGCACAGGAATCAAAGTCTGGCATATAAAATGCAGGTAAACCCTCAAATCGATTAATGTTAAGTTGAGTAAAATATACATTAGGCATACGGAGCCTTTGCTGGGACCACAAGAAAATGTTCCTTAAGTGTGGGAAAATGTAAAATTAAGTCCCTTAGATCAGGGGTTTCACGGAACTTGAAATAGTAAAATTATACATTAGGAATATGGAGCCTTTGCTGGGAACACAAAAAATGTTCCTTAAATGTGGGAAAATATAAAATTAAGTCCCTTAGATCAGGGTTTCACTGCTATTTGAAACAGTAAATTATCTGATTCAGCTTAATATGACAATGCAAGCAATTCTGATTTCCAACAAGCACCCTGCAGGAATACTGATTAAGATGAAACAGCTCCTGTTCAACACAAGTAGAGATGACAGGATATACAGTGTTACAGAGCAAATCCCACCCCCAATAAAGTAAAAAGAAAACGATAAAGATATCTCTATTCTCTAAAATTAGAGAAATAAACTTACATTTTACATAAGACAGTTCAACATATGTATTTCATGTGTTTCTCAGCACCAAAATATTCAAACTGTTTCAAACAGATATTTGCAGAATATAACAAGAGGGAGGGCAAAAAATTGCACATAAAGGGAAACAATAAATCAGAAAGGCAACCAAGAAAACTGCTACTGTTTACTGTTAGAAGTGTGACATACAACTAAGTTTCAGAGATTGTTTTGAGAGTTTTTACTGCAAACTACTTGCAATGACACTGGGTCTTCTCCAAGTTTTAATTATAAACACATACATGTGTACACACTCATAAATATATGGTATTGTAACTACGTTTGATGTCAATGAATACAATAACCACCAACTCACTCACGGAGCTGATCCCTTCTTGAGAACTTCCCAGCATTTTAACCCTTTGACGTGGTCATTTAAATTCCGCGGCCGCGGCTCCTGCGGTAATATATTCAGCCGGCCATTTAAATTTTGCTCGAAAATTATTTATTCATCATTGTTCTTAAATTCTATGAGATAGGAACATGAAACTTTCACTAAAATGATCTTAAAAGGTGGTTTTATAACCTTACCTTATAATATGAGCGCCCTTTATATCTTCAATGGAAGCAGGTTGTTTAGTATTTGAGCAGTGAATGGGACGCCTTGAAGCATGAAACTTTCACTAAAATTATCTTAAAAGATGGTTTTTATAAACTTACCTTATAATATGAGCGCCCGGTATCTATTCGAGCAGTGTAAGGAAGGCCTTGAAGCATTCGTGTAACCCAACGGTGCCCCACATTCCTCGCTCCGATATTTACGGTCATCCCTCGAAACGACCACCAAGGTCAGTACGATAAAATGGCGTCAACTGGAGCGATGATTAGGAAGGAATGAGTACTTTTCCCTCCCCCACACACATCCGTATCGTCTCAGGGGGTGACCACAGTGTTCTGCCTTAAATTGTGGCGTTTTTCTAAGAAATGGGTGCTATGTACTGTGCGAAAGCAATCGATTTTACAAGAATAAAATTTTGGACAACCCTCTTCTAAGAATGCCATTTGAGTGTGTCAGTGTGGCCAGCTCGGGGCAATATCATATTATAAACACATCACATCACGTCTCTCCTGTTTATAACTTCGTAGCAAAGAATAAACGACATTCATAGCGGTGAAACCGCTAGCAAGAGCCACAGGAACTTTGCTGCAAGACAGGCATATGTAACAATGACTTATCTCAGCTAAACTCGTTGGCTTAGTATACTCTGTTCTTGTGACAACAGGCCAGCGAAAAATCTAACAATCTACAGCAAAACCACCAATTATTATGGGCGTTATAACATAGGTGTGCAGCTGGACGAAACAGACACGCCGAACCCCCCCAGACGATTTAAATCCCTGACGAACCATACACGACGAACCACGGCAACGGGTTAATGGAACCCAAAGGTTCATTACCATGTTCACAAGAGCCATCCATTGGTCCCTATCCCAAATCAGATCAATCCAATCCATACCATCCCATCCTATCTCTCTAAGATCCATTTTAATACTGTCTTGTCTAGTTCATGGGTACCCCAAATTCTATCAGAATATTGTACAATACTTCCCTCCTAACTGAATCATAGGCTTTCTTGAAATCTATGAATAGCTGATGTACTGTTTCATTGTACTCCAATTTTTTTCTCCAGTATCTGATGAAGGCAAATTATCTGATCAATAGTTGATCTATATAATAACCACAGGAGATCAAAGTCAAAGGAAAACATTTTCAATATGTTGTTCATTTACTGCCTCCAGATATGTCAATGCCAACCTTTCTGGCATTCACTCTCCTCTGAGGTGAAAGCAACCATGTGGCAGAGTCAGTATGATCATGAGAATGAGTTGGCAGAGATGATCCAAGGCTTAACATGGAATCTGAACCAGAAGGGGTGGGGGCCATGACATTCTTCCATTCTTCATATGGGCATATGATTCCAAACTTTGCCACTCTACACCAAAGAGTTACATGTGCCCTGTGTTGATGGAGCTGCTGTGGATCTTCCTCTATACAACTGCACAAAATCTTTCATTGACAGAGCCAGATAAGTGGAAGTGTGATTCATCTGTCATAAGGGTGATGACACTCAGCTACTGTGCTATAATTTTCCATGTCACAATTGCTTAACTCTCGCACCACCACCATTTTGTACGAATGGAAATTTAAATCCTTGTGTAAAATTCTCCTCATGCTGTGATTGGATAGTCCTAAAGCAAGAGAATGTCTTACGGCTGAATGCCTAGGGCTCCTTATGAATGACTGCCTCACAGGCTCAGTGTCCTCTGTCAATTGCCCTGTATGCAGACTACCTCGTGGTGTTTTTTTTTAATATGGAAGCACTAATTCTGAAGTTTTCTACCCACAACTGTATGGTACTGTGGCAAGGAATTTTTCCATGATGAGCAATACTGAAATGTTTGCAAAATATTTGCTGTGTTTTATCAAGTCACTATTTTTAAAAATCGTTTTAACAATAAATACATCATGTTGCGTGCTCCACTGTTCCATGGCTACTGCAATGGCACCACTTAAGCTAGGAAAAGACATGGTTCCTGCCATCTCATCCTCAGGGGTCGCCAACATAACATATTGTGACATGTTGCGCAATGGAGGACAACCCCTCCTTACCCAGCAGTGACGTGGCAACTCTGGCCACAGTGACGTGGCGGATGAGTCAGCGCTCCGTCCCCCCCTCCGTGGTGACGTAACGCGCAATGCCGCAATTGCTACATACCCATAAACAACTTCCAACAGCGTTGCTACATAACAGGCAAACACTGCGACTTTATAAGAGAGCTGCCCTGCCTGCGAGTTGAGTTGAAATATAGCAGCAGTCGTGGTAAGAAGACCCGAACGCGTGGTTACAAGATTTTATGTGACAGTGTGCAATAACTAAGAAGTCAGTGAGTGGAAGACTTATTGTGTGCTGTAGTACAGTTATATTTGGAGTGTGTAATTCAGAGACTTGTACAGCTCCCGCGTTATTAATACGCGAAGACTCTTGAAGATACAGTGAAGAGATGAGTGCATAGGGTTCGTAAAGTGTGGAAACCCGTAACAGTGTTGTAATTAATTGTAGCTGATACTGGTAGCTTGTTAAATAAACCAATTAACAATCCGAACGGCTTCTTCAGTAACTAAAACATGTTACAATATGTTACAATACAGCAAAGGTTCCTTTGCTGTACTCTGTCTATAAGTTAGAATTATCTATCCCTTGCCTCTGTTAGATGTGCTTTAACAATACTTACTGTTGTTGTTGTCATTGTTGCTTGCTCTTTGTTAAGGAACATAGACCATGACTGACATATTTTCCATTACTAATATTGTTACAAGTTCAAAAGGTGGCATGATAAATCATATTTCTGTAAGGTGTTCTAGAAAGAGCAATATGATGTCCAGGTGTTGCAGAAATGGAAGAAATTATCTACAGCATGCTGAACTTGATTATATGCTTGAAACTGATTACAACTAAAGTGATTAATATTATAAATGATGGCCAATCAGAACTCAAAGGAATGAGTTACTGAAATTTAAAAAATGGTTTATAATTCATGGGTTACCTGAAGATCCAATATTTTTGCTTTCTTGGCTGCTGCTTCATCATGATCAGTTGGACTACTAGGCATTCGCTTCATGTTGGTAGCTGTGCGGCACACTTCTTCGAATGTAGCAATTCTCTGGGTAGTGTCTACTTTAGGAACAGGAGGCCTGTTGACTGCATGTACGGAAGGTTTCAAAAGTGGCTTTGTCTCATATGACAGATCATCAAACGAGCTGCTATATGACGAGTCCACATTCTCTTCTGGCCAGTCAAAGCGAGTTGGACGTGGTGATTCATCTACTACCACTGGTGCTGAAATCCTGCTAGGACTACAGAACAAACCATGTAATAATATGAAAATTCATACAATCATTAATGACACTAGTAGCTGGGTGGAAATGGATAGGGTAAAGTAAACAATATTTACACTAATTGCATTTCCACTAATAAAGTAGTGAAACTTAATTTAGATGTATCTGATGGTAAAACAAAAACTAAAATATTGAGGCATTTAGACCCCTTAATGGGCAATGACCGTGAGAGGAGCAATTATACAGAGTGGGGTACAGAAACTTCTTTTTTTGAAGGCGAATAAAAGAAAAATTATTGCTGATAGACAAAATTTATGTTTAGCTAATGAAAGAACACACTTTAAAGTTTTAAATCATGTAGTTTGAAACAAAATATTTTGAAAGTGGTGGCCACCGTTATCTATGCACTGATGCAACCGTTTTCTGAAGTTCCCCTCTGCACGTTCCAACATGTGCACCGGAATTTGGGCTACTTCCTGCCGAATAACATTCTTCAGCTGAAGCAGGTTTGTGGGGCGATGTTTAAAAACCTCTGCCTGGAGGTATCGCCATAACAAAAATCGCAGGGCGTTAGATTAGGTGAGTGCGCTGCCCACGGGATGTCACCTCGAAGCGAGATGAGCCGTTCGGGGAACTCTGCCCTCAAAACTGTCATCGAAGCTCGGGCTATGTGGACCGTGGCACCATCCTGTTGGAATCAGATATTTCCTAGATGCATTTCTTCAAGAGCTGGTTCGAAAAAGTTTTTAATCATGTCCAAATAGGTGTGAATTGACAGTAACTGCATGATTGTCTTCTTCAAAAAAATAAGAGCCAATAACTCCAACTCTCGACAACGCACACCGTACTGTCACCTTATCACTGTGAAGTGGCCTCTCATGGAGCTCTCTGGGATTGTTACCACTCCAATAGCATATATTCTGCTTGTTGACATATCCGGATAGGTGAAAATGTGCCTCATCACTAAAGAAAACAAGTGCGTCAGGGGGTAAAGTTTCCAATAACGTTTCGCATGCCATTATTTGGTTCTGGAAATCACATGGTGACCATTCTTGCACAACAACCATCTTATAGGGATCCTGGAGATCTCAAATTCGACTGTCGAACTGCCTCCACATTTTCTGTCATCATAACTGCCCGTTGTCATCCTGATGATATTTTCACCACACTCCCGGTTGTCCTAAAGTTCTCTACCCACAAAACAATCAATTTCTGGTTGGGAACTGGACCTCTGGGCTTAATTCTGAAGTGAGTACGGAACGCACGCTGCACCGCCATGTAGGAATGGTTGTTCAAAAAATAGGCTTAGACAGCAAACACACGCTGCTCACTCATCCACCTCATGTTTCCTACTGAGGGGTATTAGACAGAAACTTCCAGGACTGCTGCGTTCGCCAAGCCTATCCCCACTTTTCTGCGACCTCCCCTCCCTTCACAATGCATCTTCACAAAAAGGAAGTTTCGCGCCCCACCCTGTGCAACAGCCATTAATGAGTAACAGCTTCACATACATGTTCCGATGGCAACAACTGACCTACAACAATGAGGAATGGTGTTTTCTGTGCAGTCTGTGCTGAGATGTTGTAAGTGGGACAAGTTGTGAGCTGCAGTTCGTCAACCAGTGCAGTGGAGTCGATTGGTGAGTGACTTAGTCAGTTAGTAAAGAGCTGCTGTAGCTGAGGATTGGACAGTACAGGAACCCAGAGTAGGATGAATGTAAGCCATTGGAAGCCGCTACCACGTGATGGTTAGGGATGACTGAGAAGGCTTCATGTGTGCTGCAGTTACAGTGATTTTTGGAGTATGTAATTCAGTGAGACTGTTGTAGTTATTTGTAGTTACGTTCTGTAAGTGTTCAATAAATCCAATTACCGATCCGAACCCTGTGTATAGTCACTCTATAATCGTGATAATATATTGGGAAATGATACAATGAAACTGATTCTAATACTGACACTTCACTGCAGCGTGTGTTCAATAGCAGTTTCAACACAAATATTATGTAAATTAAACTTATCTCACACCTATTTCAAAAGCCAGTATAAATATTATCAGAATCTGTACATTGTTCAGAAGATGAAATGCAACAGAAATACATGCGCCACAAACACACCTACACTTAAGCCTAAAAACAAATCTATGTCACAGAAAAGTTTATTATAATCCTGTATACAATCTGCTATTTACAGTGATTAAACAAAGTACCAAAACCAAACCAATCGTCTGAATTTGTTTTATTATTGGTTTATTACGTAACACTTTCAATATATCTCATATTATACAGCATGAAATGATATGAGAATCAGTAAATAATGATTTGGAAAAGATGAAGAAGAAAGTGCAAGTAGCTTAATTTAAACTGTATCCTAGCATTTTCCTAGAGGGACTAAGCAGAAGAATGAAAACCACAGACAGGACAGCTGCTCTCAAGATTTGAGCTGAGGGCTTCTTGAATATGAAGCAGAGGTATTAATCTCTCAATTACTACAATCAGTAAACTTCTGAATTTTCTTCCACTTATTAGTGTTTGATATAATGTAATCAGAAATTACAGAATATATATTGGAACTTGTTGTGGAAGAGGGAAAAATCAAGGGTCAATTCTCCCTTAACTATGAGAAGAAGTGATATTATGTGTTAGATTTACCAGGAGACAGTTCAGAAAAGGTTAATTCATTATAAGGATTGCCTCTAATTTTATGAGACAAAGCATGCTTATGTCATAATTGACTGTGGAAAGCCTCCGCAGTACACTTTTCTCTTGCATTAAATGATATATGATTTTTGTAACAAATGCATTAGGGAATGCANCAGGTGCTGACGAGGTGGAAAACTTAAAAAAAGTGTCACATTTGACGGAAGGAACTTGATTGTTAATTGGTTAGTGTGACGGACCAGAATGAAAGACCTTAAAAAAAAAGAATGCACAATGTTCATCTTATGATGCTGTGACCTTTTTGACAAACAAGATGGCCAAGATTAGCTTGGGGAAACTTATGATGGGATTATGGCAGTATCATTAAACTAAATCATGTTAGTATGGAAACCAGACATTCTGTCTTCTAACAGATAAATTTGTTCTTTGGGAAAGATTCCACTATGAGAAAAAAAGTAAAAAAAAAAAAGCCATTTCTCAATCTCAGTGCTGTTTGCTCTAAATGCTGGGGAAATCCTTCAGATATATGAGGGCTATTCAGAAAGTAACATCCAGTGAGCTGTTAACAAAACAAGCAATTCAAAAAAAGTAATGTTATATTTTAGCGTCCTGTTGCACTGATTTAAGTCCATGATTTATTTAAACCGTCTTGCAGTGTATACACTCATCTATCTCCTTCTCTCACTCGCACTACATGTTTCGGCATAAAAATGCCATCTTCAGGTGCTTACTCAATCCACGCCAAACTAGTTCATTGCATGCCTTGTCCTCACATTAAAATAACTAAAATATATATCTATCATATACATTGACAAATGTCAAACGTTAAAAATATTAAAATTGTTCAGGATTCCTCATCGCTACGTCGCACCTCACTACGCCAGTCATGCCCATCCTCCTCTGTTGGAGCACTCCTTCACTATTGTGTGTGTGTTGTGCTTTTGTTGTGTCTTGTTCCTGTGACTGCGTGTGTTATACTCCGACAGAAGAGGATGGGCGTGACTGGCGTAGTGAGGTGCGACGTAGCGATGAGGAATCCTGAACAATTTTAATATTTTTAACGTTTGACATTTGTCAATGTATATGATAGATATATATTTTAGTTATTTTAATGTGAGGACAAGGCATGCAATGAACTAGTTTGGCGTGGATTGAGTAAGCACCTGAAGATGGCATTTTTATGCCGAAACATGTAGTGCGAGTGAGAGAAGGAGATAGATGAGTGTATGCACTGCAAGACGGTTTAAATAAATCATGTACAAAAAAAGTATTATATAAAAAAAATACATAAGTATTTAAGCTACTTCTCAATGTAGTAACTGCTGGAATTGAGGCACCTGTCATATCGGGGAATAAATTTTTGTAAGCCTGTGTCCAAGAAGTCTGCAACTTGTGAGTGCAGCCATGTTTTGACACCTTCCATCAACTCCTCATTATTACTGATGGGCTGTGATCCCAACCAGTTCTCCAGGTAGGTAAACAGGTGGTAATTGCTCACAGTGAGATCAGGGCTGTAAGGAGGGTGGTCAAACAACTCCCAGTTGAAATGTTCCAGCACTGCTCGAGTGCAAGAAGCTGTACTTGTATGTTAACACGCAGTGCAATGGAGGAGCACTACACCATGTGTCAGCATTCCACACCTTTGTTCTGAATGGCCCTATGCAGTTTTTATAGTGTTCTGTAATACACATCTGACATTAATGTGGTCCCTCGTTGCATGAATTCCACCATCAGCACTCCTTTCCTCTCCGAAAAAATAGATGCCATCAGCTATCTGGGAGGCATACAATGACTGTTTAAACTTTTTTGGATTGCTTGGTTAATGTGTATGTGTATTCACTACTTTGACTGTTGTGTGGTTTCAACATTCACATACAAAACCAAGGTTTCATCACCTGTTACTCGTATGATGTGATTAACATATTCATTGCCATCTTTGTGGACATATCAAAATTCATTCTGTAGATACAAGAACAAGCACTAGGTGATCCACAAGGCAATGAGTCATGTGATGCTACCTTTCATGCCCGAGCTCTCACTACCTCCTACCTTAGTTGCCTAAAATGAAATAACTTTCTGAACAGCCCTCATATAACAGGAAATACATTACTATTAAGAATTCTAGAACAAAAAAAAAAGTGTGTTAGGTTGGCAATTACTGCTGCAAAAACATTCAAGGACATTCGGTCTATTGAAACTATTAAGTCACTATGGAAGTAAATATAAAGCAACAAAAATTAGTCTCTATACTGATTTTTCTGAGAAAGAAGTAACTTTAAAGTACGAGTTTTCATTATCTTAGTACACAACCAAACCTTCAGGTTTACATAAGTCTATCCCTTTCCATCTTTCAGAACCAAGTCATCGGACAGTACACATCATTCAAGATTAAGTTAACAGTTCAAAAACAACTAGGCACTAGTTGTTGTAGTAAACTTTATTTGGAAGGAGAAAATCACGAATGTGCAGTCCTATTTCCAAGCTTTACATGCAAAAATAAAAATTTCAAACTTTAATTCTCAGCAAATAAAATTAAACCAAAGAGTACAACCAGGATGTGTAATCTTATTTATAACATACCTCTCATAGTCACTAGCAGAAGAAGAATCTTCAAAAAAGGTTGAAACATTTGATGGAACGTTACGTCTCTTCCATATGGGTAACCTGCAGAAAAGAAACAGACACTCTATTAGAAGACATCAACGTAGAGGGTCACATTTCATATACCACATATAGTTCTTGCTATCTAAGAAAACCTCTGAATTTTCAATAAAAACTGAAGTCTTCGGGCTACATTTGCCAGATAAAAAACAACTATAAAATATTTTTTAAATAAATGTAATTTGACCTCATAAGTTCATTAGTGACTTCCTGATATATATTTATAAGTGAATCACGATATGGATTGCGCTCTGAATCAGATGCTTGGGCTTTGGTTGACTTCTCCCTCATCTTGCCACAACAAATCGTCCTCTGTGCCATCCATCAAATTCAATATACCACATTTTTGGAAGACCTGATGACAGTTTCATTCAACATTTCAACAATAAAATTGCAGTGTATATCCCACTAAGCAGCACCAGTATTCCATCTTCTGTGAATGACTGCTTCACTAATAAGTATATACTTGAAGAAAGCAGTCTTCTGGGATTTGGCACCGTGTATATGTGGTGTTAACCGACGTTTCGGAGGAACGTATCGCCTCCATCTTCAGGGTAGAAGAAAAAAAATATAAGAATTCTGCAAGCAGAGAGACCGTGAGAACCGGTAAAAGCAGACTGCTTTTACCGGTTCTCACGGGAAGGGGGAAGGGAGCTGGAACAAGCATGATTTTTGTGTAGGGGAGAGGAAGGCAAGGTTAAAGGCTGGACACTAACCCATAAGCTGAGGGGGGGGGATTGTTATGTTGGTTGGTCATGGCCTCTGTGGCCTTCTGGATCTGGCGTCATATCCCAGTGTTCTCTCCCCTACACAAAAACCATGCTTGTTCCAGCTCCCTTAACCTACCCCTCCCACACTGCTGCTTTCACTTGTATACTTGCCCTTCCCCCCTTCCTCCTCTGCTCTCACATAGCTGTGTATATTTCCACACAGTCTGCTTTTACCGGTTCTCACGGTCTCTTCGCTTGCAGATTTCTTATATTTTTTTTCTTCTACCCTGAAGATGGAGACGATACGTTCCTCCGAAACGTCGGTTAACACCACATATACACGGTGCCAAATCCCAGAAGACTGCTTTCTTCATAATCACCGCCGTGAAAGCCTCAAATCTTACATAGTGTTCCTCTATGGGGAGGCTGCTCAACGACACATTCGACGACTCGAGACGCTACGAACCAAGAATAACAGCATAGATCTGGGACACCGCATTCAACTTCAGAATACCTCCATCCTCGCCACCAAGACCCGCTATATGGATCGCATCATTAGGGAGGCAATTGAGATTGAACTGCATCCAGGAAATATGATCAGAGAGGGGGGGTTTTGTCTCAGCAAGTCTTGGAAACCTCTCATCTGTCCTCTTAAAAATCCCCCACCGGGATATGATGCCAGATCCAGAAGGCCACACAGGTCATGACCAACCAACATAACAACCCCCCCCCCTCAGCTTACGGGTTAGTGCAAAGCCTTTAACCTTGCCTTTCTCTCCCCTACACAAAAACCATGCTTGTTCCAGCTCCCTTCCCCTACCCCTCCCATACTACTGCTTTCACTTGTATACTTGCCCTTCCCCCCTACCTCCTCTGCTCTCACATAGCTGTGTATATTTCCACACAGTCTGCTTTTACCGGTTCTCACGGTCTCTTCGCTTGCAGATTTCTTATATATATTTTTTTTTCATCTATCCTGAAGATGGAGGCGATACGTTCCTCCGAAACGTCGGTTAACACCACATATACACAGTGCCAAATCCCAGAAGACTGCTTTCTTCATAGTCACCGCCGTGAAAGCCTCAAATCTTATATAAGATTATGTTCTTTTGATATAGAAAACATGTATACCAATATACCCAAAAATGATATAATGAATATAACTAAGAATATACTACAACACAATCATAACACAAACACAAAAAGAAATTATGTGCATATTGAACACTATACTGAACCAAAATTATTTTCAATATGAACAGAAATTTTACAAACAGATGGTTTAGCTATGGGAGCTCCAACATCTGCAATTTTGCAGAAATATATATCCAGAACATGGAACACACACAAATATATGACATATTAATGAAACAGAACATAGTTGGATATTTCCGATATGTTGACGACATACTAATATTATATGATATAAGCAAGACAAAGATCAATGACATGGTTATAGAATTTAATAAACTGCAACCAACAATAAATTTCACAATAGAGAAAGAGAACCTTAAATCTATAAATTTCCTAGATATAGGAATAAATAGAGGAACAGACGATAAATGATACAAACTCCGTCCCAAGTGCAAACAATATATATTATATGTCTTGATCTTGTTCTCTTCTACACTACATGTTTCGGCCTCTAACGGCCATCATCAGGTGTATACTCTTACGTTGCTGCCACACTGAACCCAGTCTAAAATTTAACATTTAAAAAACACATTGTTATTTTCTTCGTTATTATCAACATCTACCTTGTTGATATCTGTCTGGTATGTAGGTTAATTTGTACACGTCAATTTTGATTTTCCTGTAGTAGCACTATAAAATCTTTAGTTATAATTTTAAAATCCTTTAAAATTTTCTCTAAATTTAAAATTTAAAATTTAAAATTGTTAGGGTTACTCGCCCTATGTCTAAGTGCTGCAGCGGCTAGTTCTTGTTTCCACACTGTACAGGTGTTATTCTGTGTAGTCTTCCTGTGTGTGTGCCACTGCTTGTCTTTACTACATGTGCTAAGAACTAGCCGCTGCAGCACTTTAGACATAGGGCGAGTAACCCTAACAATTTTAAATTTTAAATTTAAAATTCAGAGAAAATTTTAAAGGATTTTAAAATTATAACTAAATATTTTATAGTGCTACTACAGGAAAATCAAAATTGACGTGTGCAAAATAACCTACATACCAGACAGATATCAACAAGGTAGATGTTGATAATAACGAAGAAAATAACAATGTGTTTTTTAAATGTTAAATTTTAGACTGGGTTCAGTGTGGCAGCAACGTACGAGTATACACCTGATGATGGCCGTTAGAGGCCGAAACATGTACTGTAGAAGAGAACAAGATCAAAGACATATAATATTGTAACGTGTTTGCACTTGGGACGGAGTTTGTATCATTTATCGTGTAGAGTGCAACAGGATGCTTAAATATAATAGAGGAACACACAATTTGCAATTTTCAATACATCGTAAACACACAGCAACGGACATAATAATACCAAGTGACTCATGTCATCCACAAGAACACAAGATATCTGGTATTAAATACCTTATAGATCGAGTAAATAATTATCCCATTACCAAAGTAGCAAAAGATACTGAGATAGCTACTATAAATAACATACTCGTAAACAAGTACAACACAGATATAATTACTAAACTAACTACAAATAAAAGGAACCAAAACATTACAAAAAAAAACAGAACATTACTAAGAATTCAGAAGAACAAAAAACGAAATGGCAAACATTCACATACATAGGAAAAGAAACAAGAAAAATCACAAAACTATTTCGTGACACAAAATTAAAAATAGCATTTAGAACTAAGAATAATTTACAACATATCTTAAAATCAAAAATACAAATGAGTAAATATAACAAAAGTGGCATATACAGAATGAAATGCCTAGATTGCCCCATGGAATATACAGGACAAATGCAGAGAAAATTTAATACCAGATATAAAGAACACATACATGACATAAGACACAATAATAGCAATACAGGATACTCGGAACACATATTGAACACAGGACATGCATATGGTACAATAGAAAATACTACGGATATCATAGCAACGAATAAGAAAGGACAGTATTTAAACACACTGGAAAACTATCATATGTACAGAACAACAAAGAAAAACATGCATATGAACAATATAAATAAGGAAATGTATAACCCAATATTTCATGAATTACACACAATTTACATGGAACAACAAAACACAACCCCACCACCTACCCCCACCACACTCACACCCACAACTTCATAGCTCAATCAATACGAAGACACACACACATCCAACATTACAACACCCACAACCAAAAAGGGAACACACAACACGAGACATGGTGAGTACTAAACATTATAATACAACACATAACAAATAGAAGCCGAAAGTAATAATAAGAAGTACTTTTTCACATTGCAGATATATACTGAGAGTATGAGGAACGACTCTCATTGAGGAGGAACTATGCGCGGTGTTAGAATTGGGACAGATAAGACAAATAATCTTAACAAGTTTTTAGTATATAAATATTTATTATAATTGACGAACATTTTTAAATACTTTTTAAATTTTACAATGACATAATGGCAAGCAATGAAATAGATTAATGTAAATGGAGCACCTGATGATGGCACTATAGTGCCGAAACATATTGTGAAATAACAAGTGAAATTGAGTGCACTAAAAGACGGACACTGCATATATATCATGGACAGATTTTATGTATGTGCAATTTGTTGGTTATATGTAAGGTCAAAGTTCAAACCACTGCCAAGTCTGTAATTTTGGCTAACAAACAGTATTTCATACACTAGCATAAAGCCTATTGAAATTTCACCGGGAAACTGTTAAAAACAAACTGCCTCAGAAGCACTTCAATAACTTGAAAATCTATAGCTACATTTACAGCAAGGCACTAAACTTGACAGTTTCTGTCTAGATGAAAAATTTTTCAGCAAAGCTTGCCCGCAAACAACAAACTTCATCAAAAATGCAGAGATCTCCAGCTAATCAAGAACTGGATCCATTGAGCCTCCCACAATATGTAAATATCCAAACAATTGTTGTTCTCGAGTCAACTGATGACTGCCAATACATGCACAAAGCGGCAACTTTAACAAACTCAGTCATGTCTCAGCCAGCCATTCTGGTCATGTGGTAGTGCCATCTATGTTCATCATTTTTCATCACATTTTGTATGTGTTTGAATAAAATTAGAAACATTATTGGAATTACAATGAAAAACAAGGCAGATGCCAAAATTAGGTTCATTAACACATTCGTTACCAGCCTCTAAGTGGACAATTTAATTGCCCAGCCCCAGGTTTTTAAATGTCAGAGTAATTTGAATTCATTCATTGACCAACAAAATCTGAAAACATTCTGCTCGTAAACTATGGCACACAGGGAGCTGAAACTGTGCGCATACCTTCTGGAGATGTTTTAGTGCACTCTGTGTGCGCGCTACCTGTATCACATTTCCCAGGAATCAGAGTAACACCATTTTTGACAATACCACCTAGTTTCACTATATTTTCTAAACACACTCTACATTTTCTTGTTGGACTACTGCTGCAAATTTCAGCAAAACATATCTTTTGTCTTGCCATCTAGCCAAAATGGAAAGTCTTTCACATGGGCTCTTTTTGGTGGCAAATATCTTGAGGCTGTACTGATGATGATGATGCAAGAGAAGCTGATTCCATACTTGAAGGTGATGGAGGAACACTGAATACTTCCTTTTCACTTGCCAGAAGTAAGAAATGGGATACAATTATCTTGAAGTCTGGATATCCCATCCTTACTTCTTGATTTGACTTTACAAACAGTAGGAAGGAATGACTTCATACCTGCTAATGTCACTGAAGTGCACGAAGGACAAAATACTTTCGAAACAGTTCAAAACTGGAATTTCAAAAAGAGGATCTTAGTAGCAATGGAGTTTGAGAGTAGGTTTATTCATTATCCCAGTCAGAAGCATTAACCCCAACATTTGTTTTCAGTTCTGGCAGTTACTGGAGTTCATGTCTGAAATTGTGAATGTTTTGTGAAAGGGTGTGGTGCAGCAACAATTACTTGGCTAGAAACTGGTTGGATTGTTCACAAAAATACTGAAGAAAATTATCTGTAATGAATTCACAAAATACATAACATGAGTGTTCTAATGTCGGTATTCTGGCTTGTGTTTGATGTAAATGGTGGAGGAGACAGGCAGTAGCTTGGCAATGTTTCGGGTGTGGCCTCATCTGCAATGTCACTTTATACTACTACATATGAGCAGACACACTGTCAAACTGTGTATTTACTGAAACAACAAAGGATAAGGTACGAGAATAACAGTGACATATGATATTCAAGGCCATGGAAATACTGACGCATATGCCATCTACATATATAGTGACCAATTATGCTATATAATCATTGTTTGAATGAGAAATGTTTGTGTGCATTGCTATCCAATGTAAGTGAGATGGGGGCCCCTATATATGAGATCATTTATCCAACCACCTGTTGGCTGTGAGAGCAAAAGTGTTAACTGATGAATCACTAATCAATGACACTTCATGGAACAAGTTAATGTTGATTAATGGAGGATGACTGTAATTAATCCCTCATTTTCTTCAACTGGTAACAGAGCATCACAATGACCATTATCTCATTCACCACTAAGGAACAGAGAAACACTTGTTTCAACTGATGCTTTGCTAAGTGATTTGACCTTCAAACACTACCTGACACTTCATAGATTTCAGTTACAAGTTATCTATTACTTCAACACTACCACGATACACTCCACTTTCATCCAGTCCTGTCTTATAATTAATATGCAACTGTAGACTGTGGGAAGTCAAAGTCAAAGTCATGTTGCAACTGACGGTCAGTCAGTCTGTCTGTCTTTCTTGGTGTCGAGCCCCAGCTGGAGCTCATGACCAGATGTTTTCTTCTTTGTGAAAGTTGCTGTCCTGTCCATTTGGGGCGCCCTCTCTGATGAGAGGTTGGGTCTGCCATTTGTCAGTCTTAGTCAGTCCATTGTCAGTATTGACATATATTTACAATTTAATTCTAGTCTTAATTACTATTTCTATGTACAATAATTACAAAGCCTCTGTCAACCCAGGCATTGTACAGCAGATTATGCTCTATTTCTAGTATTATTTGCTACCACGGCAGTCTAGTCACTTGAACGGTCGTATGCCTGACCGCCGCCAAGTTTAAGCCTCTTATACTTTCTGTGGTGGGCTTCGCCTTGCCCAATGTTACGAACATTCTCATTATCATGATTTTGTATGACTTCTGCTTGTTGCCTGCATAACTGTTATACAATCATATATAGGATTTTGAATGGCATGTGCAATTCGCGGACCAGTGTGCACCTTGGAAAATTGCCAATGGTGCGGAGAACCTTGTTTTGCAGGCACTGCAATTTCGCTAGATGGGTGTCTGCCGCAAACTCCCAGGCGGGGCTAGCATAAGTCATTACAGCTCTAACAAGAGCTTTATGGAGGGTCAGTTTAATGTTAGCGCTCAATCGCTCACTTTTGAATATGGAATATACTCTAATGAATGTTCTGAAGGCCTTGGCTTCGATCATTTCTATGTGTAATCTCCATGTCACTTTCTTATTGAAGATTACACCTAGATATTTTGCACTATTTACAAATGGAATATTTCTTCCATTTAGAGTAAGACAAGACTCAGGCGGTTGATGACCACAAGAGAAGTAGACCCCCTGAGTCTTATCTTCATTAATTTTTATATTCCAGTGCTCACACAAAGTCTCCATTGAGCTGAGACCGCGCTGGAGTTTTTTAACAACAAAACTCTCCTTGCGATCTGTCGCATACAGACAGGTGTCATCCGCAAAGAGGGCCATGTGAACACCATGAGTTTGGGGGGCATCATTTATGTACAAGTTGAAAAGAGTAGGGGAAAGGACAGAACCTTGTGGCACCCCTGCTTGCATTTCCCTTTTCGCTGATATTTTGCCTTCAATTGAGACCCTGAATTTACGTTTAGAAAGAAAGGACCCAATATGTTTGGTCAAACTGTTCGAGAATTCCAATTTTGATAACTTATACAGCAATCCTGAGTGCCACGTGGTATTAAAGGCTTTTTCGATGTCCAAGAACACTGCAGCTGTAGATATTTTATTGTTGAAATTAAGGATCACGTGGTCCGCCAGCCACATACATTAAAATGTCGTGCTGTGATGTGCATGAAAACCAAACTGACTTGTGTTGAGCAGGCCTCTTTCTTCAATATGTTTACGGAGGAATTTCAAGATTGCTTTTCGAATAGTTTTCCTGTCGTGGACAGGAGGCTGATCAGATGTAAATTTTGAGGGAATTTTGGGTCTTTACCTGGTTTAGGTAAAGTTATTATGTTTGCTTCCTTTCAAGTATTTGGAAAATGAGAGAGCCGAAAACAATGATTGAATAAATGAGTTAGGTGAACCAATGGTCGTCTTGGAAGGTACCTGAGGCATTCATTTGGGATGTCAATTCCACAGGCCTTTATTAATTTCTGAACGTCACATGGTCTAATCCTTTGAGGGGGGTTGCCATCTATGGTTTCCAGTAGAGCTTGTACTCTAGCCTCCACGCGCTGTTCATGGTTTTTGTAGCACTGGTCATGTGGCGTGAACCGAATTTCCAAACAGTCAGCAATTTCGTTGGCTTTTTCAGAAGGATAAAATTTAAGGCCAGAAGAACCATGAATAACAGTTGGTGCCCTTGGTCCATCTCTCTTGAGAGATTTCACACTGGACCATATATTCTGAGGTGTGACTTCAGCGTTACCTATTTTTGTTTCCCACCGTTCAAGTGCCTTTTTTGGGTCATTCGCCTGATTGATTTGGTGACCCAAATGACTGCCATTTTACACGCTGGATCCCTGGTTTCTTGCCACAGTTTATATTTTATCAAACAATCTAGACCAGGAAGATCATTAGACTGTGGGAACATATCATAAAAATATCATATTTATACAGCACTCACTTTCCCGCTCACTTTTCACCATCACGCGCCCTAGCCAATCACGTTGCTTCCAACGCTGGCATTTACACAGCACTTGTTGTCTAGCCCACATCCAGATCATTACACGCGCTAGCCAATCAGCGCTCTTCAAATTTCGCTCCTCCATCATGCATGATATAAAAGGCGGAGCGCAAAGCTCGCAGTCAGTCAGTGTCAGTGACCATATCAGCCAGCCAGCAGTGACCACACTTCCTACAGAGCGATCGGTCCTCGGAGTCATTGGCACTTCACCGCATCAGGAACGGCTGCCTCACCTCTCCAGCGGTCATGCCCAACTCATTGGGCAACTGGCTGCCTCAGCTCTCCGGTGGTTATGCCCAACTCACTGGGTGACTGGCGCAGCTGCCGCCACTCCAGCGACCGCGCTCTGTGATCAGGCAACTTTCTACAACTGCCGCACTGGGGCTAGTCAACTCACTCAGCTTCCGCAACATTAGCCGACACACACCGCAGCCAGCATCTCTTTCTACCAGCGCATGCAGCCCTACTTCACCGGCCGAACATCCCAGCCAAACGGCCCTTTTCAGGGCCTACAAACTTTCCGAAGTGGTTTGTCTGTTGGAGTATCGACAAATCCCACAAGACTATTCTGAGTGATCTAAAATGGAATATATGGCTGGAACCTTGGAAATATACAATTACGGTCTCTGTTTACAGTTTTCATATATAAGCCCTCAACTGATCTACTACTGTACACATCAAATCATGTTCTTTCTAAATATATATGTTATCGACAATAGAAATTTGGTCTTGGCAAAGGTCAAGACTTAATTAAACCATAGCAACAACACTCACTGTTGCCTGGAAGCCCATTCAGCAACTACAACTAATGAAATATCTTCTACAACATTGGGAAAAGAATCATGATATGTAAACAAGCCTTAACCTTTCATATACAGGATCACATGCTCACAGGGATGCACGCACATATACATATACAGGCAGCCTGGAGATCTCATGAGCCTACTTCCTTTCCTAAGGAAATGAAGGACTGCTCGAGGTCACGAGAAGACAGAGTTTTCACTTTGTTTAAACTACATATGTAGGCAAATAAGCAGTTAATAAAATTTTCACTGCATGCAATGTAATGAGTGGAATTTTCAATCAGTGTGTTAATAGAAGAGTTTCCAAGCAATGCACATACTTGCGGCCAGGTAACATTTCTGGAAGGTCTGGATCAATCTGTTTTGGTGCGATCTTCTTTCCTTGCAAATTGTAAGTGATGGGAACTTGAGGTGGCCTCTTTATAATAGGCTTAATTTGTGGAGATGAGGCTGAATTCTGTGCATCCAGAAGTTTGGTCAACACAGTCATATTCATTTGCTGGGCTGTTGTGTACAGACGCCTGTGCAGTTCTGTGCGGAACTCCAGTCTCCCAGTGTACATGAAACTGAAACACAATCAACATCAGTCTCCCCTTTGGGAACAGGAGCCACAAAACATTTTCTCTTGAACTGTTCATAAGCAACATTTCTTCCCGAACACATAGTGAAGAAATATGATTTGACATGTATTGTTGAGTATCGTACAACACGCAGCTGTACTGATACCCAAAGACTGAACAGACTGGTCTAGAGGTAACACTCTGGACTTATATTCAGGAGGTACCTAGTTTGTTTCTTGGCTGGAACGCTGCCTATCCCGACTGAGGTTCTATGTGGTTTTTCTCAGTCCATCCAGGCTAATACTGAGAGTGCACACTGATCAGGCCACAACCACTTCCTTCCAATTTACCTATCATCCTGCCACCTGATGCCATATAGTCTTGATACTGAAAAAGTGCTTTTAAATAACTCATGGAAAGGAAACAAGAAGTTTACATAAGAACTAATCACCTACTTTCCTTTCACTGTAATTTGAGTACCCAAAATGCAAAGTAGGAAGAATACTTTAGCATATATGCGTAATGAAGTCAATGAAACAAAATAATAATGAAAGGCTGCAGTGTTGGTATCACTGATAGGAGTGATTTATGAAGTACACAGTTCAGATGTTATGATATATATACCAAGTTTTATGAAGATCGGTACAAAAATTCAAGTAATATTAAGGATGCTACTTCAAGAATTTGAGAGCCTTCAGTGCTGGTATTACTGATGAGAGGGATTAATGAAGTATACCGTTCAGATGGCATGATATTGTGACATGTTGAGCTATGGATCACCCCTACCTCCCCAGCGGTACGTGGCGGTAATGTAGCGCTCGCGTTACTACGGTAATAGGCGAGTCCCCGCCCCGTCACTCCCCTCCGCGGTGACGTCACCAAGGGATATCGCGGTTGCTAGGCAGCAGTCAACAACTCCGGACA